GGAGAAGGACTGGGAGGATACAATGAGGGATGAAGGGCCTGGCTTGGTGTATGTCTTGGACATACAAACGAGATATGTGACTCTCTAAAAAGCTGGATACCTCTGATATGTACACGTATAGTAAAACAGGTATGAGACAGAGTAACCTTTTACTTGTTAATGGATTTCACAATATTACTGGTACGTAAAGGGGGGAGGGTGATTTGGAAAAGTTAGGATGCACGTCTTGGGGCATGGAGTTTGTGGGTATGTATTTAATTACTATGACTGTCCTATCCACAACTAGATCATGATTTTTTGACATGGACCATATCTGCAATTTATCCTACTGCCCCTGTTTGCATCTGCGCATTCCCAGCCCTTCAGAGTATGACTGTTGCCCCCAAGCCCCTACAACCAGGAGGGGGAGAAATGCTCGGAAATCTCAGAGAAGCTATATAGCCTAGTGGAGGGAGCATTGAGCTATGCAGCTCCCTTTCAGCTTTACCACTATCTCACTAAGGGGATTTTGTGGTGAGTCCCTTCATTTCTTTGTAATCTTGATGTTAATTGCTTTGAGACATGCTGACAAATAATACTATGTGCATGCTAGGTCTTAATGTCATTATGTAGTGAATAATCATGTGCAATTACAAACCTATATGAGAACATCTGCCTAAATGACAGGCAAACTGCCCAACAAGCACTTCCTGTCTAATTTGCCCCTCTTTTACCCTCCACCCCAAGGAAATTCTCTTACCAAAAAAATGTTAATGCAGTTAGGGCTGCCCTGTGGTGTGCCATGCCCTTCCAGAATGTTCTAGTGACATCTGAAAATGAGGCAGACATCAGGGCAGGGTGGCACCCTGGGAATAACTTGTTCAGAAAGGCTTAAAGCAGGCTTGTCCAACATATGGCTGTGGGCTGCCATGCAGCCTGCCAAGCCATTTTATCTGGCCTGAGGCGCCTGCTCTGCGCTCCATGGTGGCAGTGGTGAAGCAAGACGGGCAGGGCCGGCCTGTGGGCCCCAGCTGGCGGGGAGGGGAGGGGAACTGCTTACCTCCGTGGGGCCGGGCTCATCAGTGAGCGGGGTCCTGCTGCCGCTGCCCTGAGGGGTGCATGGTGCGGGGCTGCCCCAGCCATGCCTGATTAGATGAGCTGGGGACAGCATGTGCAACTTCTTCTCTGGCTCTGCCCCTTGCTCCCGGCGTGTGGCCAGGGGAGCCGCAACATGGCCCGTGCCCTGCCTGCATGCATGGTGGACGGAGGCATGAGGTAAGATCCCACGCAGAGCTGGGATCACCTCGTCCGCCCTGGCCCAGCCCGGCCCCGAAGGCACGGGATAAGTTCACATGCGGAGCTGGGTGCACCTTGGGGCCGGGCCGGGTCTGTGGGGCACGTGGTTGCTGGAGCTGGGCTGGGCGGGGGGCAGGAGGAGCCTGGCCCAGAGGTGCTCTACGTCCACCTGCCTCCTTGGCGGCTCAGGTCCTGATAATGTAGCCTGCACGGCTGAGGATGGGGGTCTGCATCCGGTTGCTGGCGGGGAGGGTGTGTGTCCGGGAGCGCCCATGCTCCTGCCCCCACCTCCCTGCCCTGACACGTGCCCCTGCGCTGCGCTGTGCTGCTGGAGCAGCCCCATGCAGGCCAAGCAGCAGCTGCTGACACTGCTGGCCTGTGCCTGCCTCCTCACCCACCTGCTACAAGCCAGCCCCGCTGCCCTGCCCCACAGCAAGGCGGTGCCTGCTCCCCCGACCAGTCTCCCCCCCTGGGCGCTGCAGCTCCTTGGGCCTGGCTGCCCACACACGAGGCCCCAAGGGGACCATTTCTCATGTGATGCTGGGGATGGGAGGAGCCCGGCAGGGGCTGTACCGGCTAGCAGAAGCCGCGGCGGAGCTGTGTGCTGCTTGGGATGGGATGAGCCTGCACTGGTCAGTCCTGAGCAGCACATGCCTCCACCGCCACTTCTGCTGGCCAGTGCAGACCTGGCCGGCCTCCTCCTGTCCCCAGCAGCACATGGGAAGCTGGCTTCAGCTGCAAGCTGCTTTTCCTGGCTGGTGCTGACCAGGTTCTGCCCAGGCGGGTCCTGCAGCACCATGTCAACCCTGGCATGGCACTGGCAGGCTGGCCGGGCCCCAGGTTAACCCTGGCCTGGCCCTGCGGCTTCTCCAGCAGCAAGTCAACCCGGTTGTAGCCAAGCAATCCTGCAGCACCATGTTAACCCGGGCATGCATTCCATGTCAACTAGCACCATGTCAACCCCTGCAACTTCATTGGTGTCACAGGTCATGTGACATCACTTCCTGATATGATACCACTTCCTGTGATGTCTTTGAATATGGCTCACTGGCCCACTGGGTGATAAAAAGTTCGTGATCCAGCCCCACATTCAAAAAGTTTGGACACCCTTGACTTAAAGCATTAGATGCTTCTGACAAAGTAGGCTGTCACCAATGAAAGCTTATGCATCTGTGAACAAGCTACTCGTGTGCCATGTGCCCTGCTTTCTGTGTGACTTCAGCCTAAATATTATGAAATGAAGACTTCAGGTATGTTCCAAAACGGCTTTAACTCGACTTTCTTTGATCAGCAACTCAGCGGTTCCATAATTCACATACTTGCACTTTGCAGGTGGGGCACAGGACAAGAGTAGCACAGAATCTAATGTTTTCCTGTTGTGAAGACCAAACTAGAGTTTAGGAGAGCTGTACTGAACAGCACTGAACAGGAACATTTCCATGGTCAAAATGCTGAGGAATATGTCCCAAGAATAACCCCCTGCCCTTCACCCTACTTGACAGCCCACTGGCTCTTGCCCACAGGATTCTACTTAACACTGTACTACCACCTACTGTGTTTCAGTCTAGAGAGGCTAGTTTGCCATCTCTGTGCTGGCAACCCACATGGTACCAAGACCCCCTACCTGATACTCCCTTCACAGCTCAGCACTGAAATGAGGCATGATGGATCACCAGAAGTACACACTTGCCTCTTCCCTCTGTTTGCTTGCGGAAGGGAAACCCTCCCCTTCTCCCCCTCATCTCCTTGTATCATAGGCACAGTTTTGTTGAGCTGGTCTTTGAATCAATTCTCCTATGAGTCAGTGCAGCTGTATGTAAAACAGTAAATGTAGCTGGGTGAGCTAATTTTTGGAGGCTGCTGTCAGCTCCAAGGAGGCAAAGTAAAGGTAACAATCAGCAGGTAGATCAGGGTGATACAGTTGACACAGTATATCTGGACTTGCTGGAGTCTACAAGTGGGAAAGGAACAAGGGAAACATCTGGGTCGTATTTTGTTCACTCTCCCTTTTGAGCATTCACTTTCTGCCATGGTGTGACACAGGATGTTGGGAAAGAAGGACCTATGGTCTTAGCCAATACATGGCAGTTATGTTTTGTCACTGGCCTATGCTTTAACGCTGCACTTCAGTTTCTCGGAGGTTTCCAGACCTCTAGACCCAAAAGTCTGGAAGGACACGAGGCAATTCAGGGTAACCTTAATTCTATGCTAATCACAGACAAGAAACTTCATTAAATAGGAGTTTAAAGGTATTCAGCACTTCTGGGGATTGGACCCAAACACTGAAAATGCTTGATCTTCTTGCTGCAGACAGTGTCCTAGCAAATACTAAAGGCTTTTCACAGGCCAAGCCGCACAGGGCCAGGGCAGGCTGATCTTCACAGTCACAGAACACCCACCTGCATGGAGTAGCTTGGCAAGGGCTTAGACAGTAAGCTTTCCACTTTTTGCTCTATAGTTCACACTAAAATTCATATTTTGTAGATAAAGATGTTTGCCAGGTTTGCAGGAAGACCCTGAACAAGAGTCATTTTGTCTCTCAAGCTCCCCTGTTCCACTTTGTATAGATACGTGGTCGAGAGAGAGGGAGGACTCTCTGACCTAGTGGTTAGAGTAGCCATCTGGGAAATCCAACTGGAAATCTCCAGTCCAAGTTTGGAAGAGCAAAGACTTAAACCTGATCGTTTGTATTCCAGCTGAGTTCCTTAATAGGTAAGACCCTATGAAGACGGACTGAGGGACCTGAATCTCTTCAGCTTCCCTCAAGAGAAGGCTGAGAGGCAATTTTGTGGCTGTCTACAAATTCATTGGGGGTGTCAGCAGGGAGTTGGGGACACTGTTTACCAGGGCATCCCTTGGGGTTACCAGAAATAATGGCCACAAACTGAAGGAGAATAGATTTAGATTGGAGATAAGGAAGAAATTCTTTATGGTGAGGGTTGCCAAAATATGGAATGAGCTTCCAAGGGAGATGGTGCTATCCCCTACCTTGGAGGTGTTCAAGAAGAGATTAGACAGGCATCTGGCTGGGGTTACTTAACCCCAGCGCTCTTTCCTGCATGGAGCTGAGGGTCAGACCCGATGATCTACCAGGTCCCTTCTGACCCTAGAAATCTATGAAATCTATTCATCACTGGGTTATATGGTCTCTGCCCCCCTCCTTGACCAAGTATCTTTCAAAATGGAACAGGGGAGCTTGAGAGAAACTGAATCTTCCTATTCTGGCTTCTGTTTCTCTTTGTGTACTCACTTCCCTCTGTTCTACCTTCCCCAAAAGCAAAATCATCTAACATGGATTGTGGGAAGCTTCCTAAACCCAGTTTCATTGAAACTGGTACCTTTTTCTGTTTAAGATAAAATGCAATAAAACCCCTCCACATTTGTTTTTTGACAAATCAGCATTTTATTAAAAAACTTTAAAAAATATCCTGACCAGGTGTAATCTGGAATAGTCTTTAACAACTCTGGATGAACTAATTGTGTATCTGATTGAACCTTCATGACATTCACTTGCTTACTGGAGGAATGAGTTTTACTAAGGAAGACTTTTAGATGAGTACAGTATAGATGAAGTACTTGAAAGCGTAGGTGCCTTATGCCTTGTAGCGATTAATGGTTTTTTGTCAGTTTCCGTATTCCGTATTAGTGGTAATGGCAGGTGAATCACCATTCAATGGGAAATTATGTATGAACTGGCATTACTGTGTTTTTTCTATTTACTTTAGATACGCTTTATATTACTGTTCAGCCGACAAGGGAAGCTAAGACTTCAGAAGTGGTATACTACACTACCTGACAAAGAGAAGAAAAAGATCATACGGGAAATTGTACAGATTATTCTGGCTCGCAATCAAAAGATGAGCAGTTTTGTTGACTGGAAAGACCTGAAGCTTGTTTACAAAAGGTGTGAGTAGTTTTATAAGAATAGATATAAACACATATTTACATTAATGTTGTAAACACTGTTAAGAGGCAGCACAAGAGAAACAGCTGATGGCAGGAATTTTTAAAAATGCTTCAGTTAAGAACCTAAAACTAGGAACAAGACAACTTGATTCTAAATAAACTAAAGCAACCTGCCCTTCCCTAGTGGAGAAGCTGATAAGGTGAATTGCAATTGGGGAAAAAATACTTTCATTTACCATAGAGGAAAAAGGGTAGTAAAATCTTGAATTAAGTTTTCACACTTGAGTTAGACGTGGAGTCTCCTCCTGTAATTTAATCTTGTTAATTTAAAGGTATCCTTATTTATAAGCATCCTATGCTTTGTCAGTGTTTATTTGAGGTTATCCATGGTGTACTGAGATGCCTCTTGCATTCTGCCACATTGTCTTTGAAGCATTTACCAACCTGAAACTTGTTTCTTGTGCCTTCCTAGTTAGTTGCCTGATTATCAATTCCTGCTTAGTCACTATAGAGAAAAGAAACGCTTTAACTCAGTAGGCCACCTGTATCTAGCAAAGCACAAAATATAAGCACATGCTTAAGCATTTTGCTGAAGACGGATAGACCTAGTTGCATATTGTTCTGAACTGAAGCTCCACCTGTTATGCTGAGATTAATGATTGGGTGGATAGTTTAACCCAGAAGTGGATTAACTAAATATTAACATTTGCAATAAATAAGATACGACAGTTGATCAGCTTGAGTTAGTTAATAATCCATTTTCTCAAGTGCTCACATCATATCCTTTTAAACTTCTAGGAGACTATATTTTCTCGAGTATTATTTTTTATTCCTTTTATTTCTACTTTAAAAAAAAAATCATTCCACAGTCTACCACCTTGTAGTCTACAATAGGGTTGTTGTAGTATTCATGCAGATGTCATCTACCGTTGGTCTTTTTGGTGGTGTAAGGGTAGCGTTCCAATGTAAATGTTTGAGAATGTATTCAGTAAATCTTTCCACCCTCTTTTTCAAAAATGATTATTAATATAATTTTTTGTTTAATTTATTTCTAAAGATTACAAAGTGCTTCCATATTTAAAGAAGGGCTTTTTGTTGTCTTTGATTCCAGTTGCCTGTTTGATTTTGGTTTTTGCCTTTGCTTTTCTAATCCGCTCCCTACAGGTGAGGGCTATTGCTGTATACTCTTCTTTGGTGGTAATTTCTGATTTCCATCCCTTTATAAGCTTCTCTTTTCAATGTCAGGAGGTCCAGGTCTTCCCTATGGAGCCAACGGTCTCCCAGCCCTTTTGCTGCCTTCTTTACAAAAAAGAATGGACTTCCTTTGTATTCCAAGGATCACTTCCTTGAGAAATGACCACTCTTTTTGTACTCCCTTCCCCATCAGACCATAGTCCTACTACAGATCAAGGGTCAAAGATGTCAGAAGGCCTGCTGGCTGGATCTAGCCTGTGGAGTCCTGTCATTCAGCCCTCTTTGACTGCCCGTGAGTCTTGGATTGGACCCATGCACTGTGGATTTTGCGTGCGCTCCCCATGACAGTGTCAATTCCAGTGCACAAGCCATGGAGGGCCAGATCCAGCACAAGTGTGGCAAGCAGCACACTGGACCAAGCCAGGGCATGCACAACCCTGTGTGTTGGATCTAGCATGCAGGGCCAGTTTTGGGGCCCAGTCCGGCCCACGGACTGGCCTCGTGCTACTCGACCAGCCCTCTGGGCCTGATGAGTTGGACACTCCTGCTTTAGGCCCATGCTGGAGATGTCAGTCTCTGGCAGGTCTCAGAGGAAGAGTACAGAGAATGAGCCTAGTACAGCTTGGTGAGCATCTGAGTCTGGAGTGCACCAATGGCCTTGGGCTTTAGTACACCCTCTGCCACATGTTTCAGGATACATGCCTCTGCTACAGTGTAGATGGACCCAAAGAGGTCTCCCTACAGGTCCTATGTGAAAAAGAGAAACCTTAACAGTTACTATAGAGAATAGGTATGCACAGGCAGGGAAATGAATTGCATTATATCTAACTGCTGTGACTGAGTGCAGAGCAATGCACTGCAGTGCACTTTGGGTTTTAGAAGCTGGGGGAGCTCGCGGGGGGTGGGGAATCCACCCTCAGACCAACCATGACCTTTCTATTCGATAACAGGCAAACTTACTGATACACAGTGATAACAGAAAAGAAACTATACAAACAATCGAGCAATTCTATATATCTACCAAATCCTAGGGCTGTCATCAGAGTCAAAGTACATCTGACCAGGATGCAGTCTTCCCTCGAGGCTCTCTTGGATGTCAGCATGTCAGCAGCCTGGCGATGGGATGCTGAAGCCTACACCCTTCCCCTTCACTCCTCCCATGGGGTGGATGAGATGGGCTGGTGGTATGCCCTGTGTCCATGGTGGCCTCGGGGACCCTCCTGGGCAATGGGGATCGGGACCCCACTTGGGGAGGAGGAGGAAGAGGGACAGGGAGGCGGGATGGGGAGGAACCCTTTGCTGCTTCAAAGTCCTTCTTTTGTACTCTCCTTCCTTCCTGATGACTCTTGATCTGTGGCTGTTGCTAGTTGGTCTTTCTGTGTTTGTCACACATCCATGTAGCTCATCAGATGCACACATGCTAATTTGGACTTTCTGGGCCTTCTAATTTAGTCTGTTCCCCCAAAACCAGGACTTGCCCCCCCACCCCTCCTCTGGGGTCTTGTTAGCTGGTGCCACCCTTACCTTGTATTATGCAACAGTGCCCCCTCTTTCTCAGATTGTGTGTATATCTGTTGGCCTTGTGTTAGATGGCCTGTCTGCTTCTAGGGCTGTGTGAAACTGTGAGAGACCCAGGCTTTTTAGAAATCAGTTTAGAAATCGATGCCCATCTGCCCATCCTAAACCTTTCTAATGCATATACATATACCTGTAAGCCAATTCCCAAAAAGCCAACCTTTTAAATATCATTTTCTAAGCCAACGTTAACTACTTTTCTATTTTCCCTTCTGTATTCATAGGTATGCTAGTTTATATTTTTGCTGTGCAATAGAAGACCGAGATAATGAGCTGCTGGCACTAGAAGTTGTTCATCGTTATGTAGAGCTACTGGATAGGTATTTTGGAAATGTAAGTTTCTTTTTCTTCCTTCAGTTACTCAGGATATGTTTTTCACTTTAGTTCTTTGTCATATAACAAGGAATGTAAATATCTATAGCTGCTCTTATCCTACCTTTTCATCCGCCTGCTTGCCCCTTTGACTGCATATGTGTCTTCCATGTGAAGCATATCAGCAGGATCAGACAGAAAAATAGTGCCATTATAAGGAGATGGCTTTCCATTATAAGCCCTTCCTCAAAAAGAAACCAATTTTGTTTTCTGCAGCTCTTCCCAGAGGTGACATTTAATAGATTGTTTGGGGGAAAAAGTAAAAAAAAAAAAAAAAATTTTAAAACAGCATTTTTTTTAGTTCCCTCTTGCTGAGTTCTTTTAAATATGACCTGCAGGAGGCCCACTTCTGTGAATATTTTCTACTTGCTCTCTAGTTAAAGAATGATTCAAAAAGTAACTAACCGTTGCGCTATGTTTTACATTGTCTCCTTGTTTTGTCTGTCAGAGATTATAATGTCTTTGGGACAGGGAATGTGTCTTACTCTGTGACACACACAGTGTGACTACAGTGCTAGACAAGTACTTAAAACATTCGTTATAAATGTTGATTTTTTTTTTTTCTTTCTCTTTCTTTCCCTCACCTCTCCCCATCCAATATATATGTTGTCTGCACAAATGAAGTAATTCTTTTTGTGTGAATGGTGAAAATGTATACCTAGTATTCTTGGGATGAGGGAGTGTAGTGCAAGGTTTTTTGGTTTTGCTTTTTTTTTAAACATTACTCTTTGCTACATGGTGCGTATTTCAAATAGGTTTGACAGTGTAACAGCTCTTAGCATGCCAATTCATAATGCTGTAAAATTTTGCCTAAATATGTATTTTGCTCCACCAGGTATGTGAGCTGGATATTATCTTTAATTTTGAAAAGGCTTATTTTATTCTTGATGAATTTATTCTGGGTGGAGAGATACAAGAGACTTCAAAGAAATCTGCAGTAAAAGCTATAGAAGATTCGGACATGTTACAAGAGGTAAGGCAGCAGCAGACAATCAGAAGGAACTGGGCTGGGCAAGTATGTGAGGAAGCAGCGGTGCCTGCCTGCCCACCATGCTACTCTGCCTCCCTGCCAGACTGTGCCCTCTGACTTCTTCTGCTTGAATTCTTGCCAACCTGCTGGGATAGCCTACAAACTCTGGGACTGTCCTGGCCAAACCAGGATGTATGGTCACCCTACCTATATACAGTAAAAGCTTTGTTATCTGGCATGAGCAGGGTAAAGGGGGTGCCGGTTATCTTAAAAATTCCAGTTATCTGACAGTTATACCGGCCCCAGCCCACCCTGTCCCACACAGAACCCTTTCCTTTCCCCTGCAAACTCCAGGCACCTCCTCTTTCAGCAGCGTCACTAACTAGTGTAAACAACAGAAATACTTGATGTGCATGCTGGATAGACTTGGCAAAGATTCCGGTTGCTAAAATGAGGATTTGTATTGGGAGATTAATGGAATATTTTGGTTAGTAAAATGCCAGTTAACACAGCTTTTACTGTACTAATATTAAAATCAGAATACGTATGTGCTGGAAACCTCTATCTTTGTCCATAAATAGACTTTATTGTTGCTCCCATGAGGAGTAAGTATGGGACCTTTCTTTAGAAACCTGCAAGAATCTTTTCATGTTGTAATTTATCCAAGTGAGCCAAGGATAGTAAGAAACAGTGAATGTTATAGAGTGACTCCACTTTCAAGATGACTTTAGTATGAGAGAAATAGTTAAATGAGTTTATTATGGCCCATGGGTATAGAAATATAAGAAACCTTAGATCTGCAGTGAAATCCGTAGACTTTTTTCACTTGTTAAGAGGTAAGGCAGAGGCAAATAATTGGAGAACTACCATAGGAATAAGCTCTTCTTTCTAGCCACCTTTTCTGTGTAGGCTAGTTTTCATTCATGGAATATACTAATGGCCAGCTAGATAGGCAAAGAGCAAATTACATGTATAGTGGGTTTCGGATTAGTCCATTAACAGTTGTAATATGTATATCATACAAAAATCCAAACATGTTCAACAGGAGCAGAATTAGAGTGACTTTTTTGGTTGTACTTTATGAATCTGTAACCCCTTGATTGCTTTTTCTTGCAGACAATGGAAGAATACATGAATAAACCCGCATTTTAACTTTAAATCCATCTGAAGAGACAGAGATGCTGCATATTACTTGTAAAGTTCAGTTGTTGAAATTTGTTTTCCTATGTGCCAGATCCTCTGAGAGATACCAAAAAGCAATAACTAAAGGGATTTGCTTGTATAATAGTCAAAATGAAGGTCATCTACAGCAGTGTATGGGTCACAACTGCATACCTGTATTATACTGTATATGAGTTTGTTAAACTGTTATAAAACTTAATCTAGCTACCATCTTCACCCCCTAGAGTGGAATCCTTGTTTTATGACTTCTGGCTACAAGCCTTTTCACTTGGATATTAAGAACATACTTGCAACAGATATTTATGCTAGTTTTGGTCTACTGCTGACTACATTACACTTTTTGTAGAAATGTTCATTATTTTGAATGTAATGATTGTCCTGGTCTAATAATTTTTTTAAAGACAAGTTTTTTGTGGGGTCTGGTTTCACAGATTTTCTCTGAGATTGACTAAAAAATTCAGCTGCTTCTCATCAGCTCAGACCCTTTCTTACCTCTTTTGATTGAAAATACTGACCCCTCACTCCTGAATCCCACTGTTTCTACTTAATCCCATAAAGTTATGTCACTCCTCCTAGCTGCCTTATGATCTTCTGTTCCACTGTACTGTTAGAACCCATTTCTCTGACGCGCTGTGCTTTTGGCCCGGTATCATACTTTTGTTTTGAAACTCTGGCCTGAGCTGCTGATCTAACCTCCCTTTTTGTCGGAACTTGGGAGTCCAGGGGAAGGCTGAGGACTAAAAATATCACCTTAGAAATGTTGGTCTTTAATGAGAGGTTACTCCTAGCAAGAAGGAGGTAGATTCCACCCCTTCCTGGAATCCCAACTTCTCCTACATCTCAAAGTCCAGGAACAGCTAGACCTCTTAAATCTGCCTGAAACGGGCCAGTCCCAGTTTTCTAAATATTGCAAGTTACTCTAATTTTTCATAAGAATGAGTATTTTAAACAACCCTTTGTAGTTCTGCAGACTGCACTTAGAGATGGCAAAAAACTGAGAGAACATGAAAACAACTGGGTATCTGGACCAGTTTTCTGTGTGTGTTTGTAGGACATTTTGCTAAAATATTGCAGATTGGAAGAGAGGAGGAGTGGAACCTTGCCTATTACCTTGTCTTACTCTCTCATAGTCATAGAGAAGTAGAGCTTGAAGGGACTTCCAGAGATCATCTAGTCCAACCCCCTGCCTGAGGTAGTATCATCCCTCTCCAAACAATCCCTTACAACCATAATCTAAACCAGTGGTCCCTGACTGGTCCATCATGACTGACAATTTAATCGCAGAGGCTCTTTTGGCTAATCCTGGGCTTGGGGGCGGGGGGGAGACAGGTGCGCATGTATGCACCCACATATTCTCCACCCCAACCTAGCAGGTCAGTCTGTGGGGGAGGGAAGGGGCGGGGGTCAGATTGAGGCTCTTGCAGTGAGGGACGGATGGATGGTGCGGCCCAGCCAGGAGCAGGGGAAGGTGAGTGGGGCCCCTGGGCTGCTGGGCACAGAGTTGCAGAAGCCCAAAGGAATGTGTTGCGCCCCCCGCAATCTCTGCAG